ATGTTTCAACTATGCTGTATGTAATTAGAGCGCCGCGGTACTCTCAAACCCCTCCCGGAGCAAACGGTCCTGACACAGGGCAAGGAAGCAACGGAAAAGCGAGCCCCCACCCCCAGCCTTCTCCGCGAAGAAGATTTCGTCCTGGGGGCGCTCCCGGTACCAGCTGTCCTGTTCCTCCGTCACAGCTTCGAACAAAAGGCTGCGGGCAACGAGTTAAATATGTCATGGCATCCAGTACTATGCATGCATGGGACATATACATGCCCTGGCACCCAGGGCATATATTTCCAGGACTGTACTTTTCTAGCGCGGCTTGCAAGGCATGTGGATCGATGTCGCCAGCGAGTCGCTTGGTTGCAGCGTCGAGCTTGATGCGTGCCTTGCATGGTTGGTGTGTTGATGATGTCGCCAGCGAGTCGGTTGGGTGCAACCTACTGTACTTTAAATTTCTAGCGTGGCTAGCTTGGCATGTGGAGTCGATGTCGCCAGTGAGTCGCTTGGTTGCAGCATGGTCGGTCGCGTCGAGCTTGATGCTTGCCATGCATGGTTGGTGTGTTGATGTCGCCAGCGAGTCGGTTGGGTGCAACCTAGCTACTGTACTTTTCTAGCGTGGCCTGGCATGTGGATCGATGTCGCCAGCGAGTCGCTTGGTTGCAGCATGGTCGGTCGCGTCGAGCTTGATGCTTGCCTTATTTGCATGGTTGGTGTGTACGTTGACGTCGCCAGCGAGTCGGTTGGGTGCAACCTAACTACTGTACTTTTCTAGCGTGGCTTGGCATGTGGATCGATGTCGCCAGCGAGTCGCTTGGTTGCAGCATGGTCGGTCGCGTCGAGCTTGATGCTTGCCTTAATTGCATGCACATGGTTGGTGTGTACGTAGACGTCGCCAGCGAGTCGGTTGGGCGCAACCTTATGTCGGTCCTTTTCGTCACATGGCATTGCTTTAAATTAAAGCGCTAGGGCCCTGCAGGAATGGCTGCCCTCATGAGAGGTTGGCCTGGCTTCACAAAGATCATGCCTTGAAAAATGTGATCCTGCTTCTGGCCTATCGCCATCGAAGTCAGATGGCAGCCGGCCTACCTCTGACTGGATTGTATCCCAGAGCATGTGCCATGCTCACGTGGGCTGTGCCCCAATCATTCCTAAGCAGCTCGAAAATCTGGGGCCAGGAAAGGACGAAGGCGCACTTGATGTCCAGATAAAAGCCACCATGTAGGTGTAGGTAGTGATAAATATATCTGAAAAATTCTGAAAACATCTGCTCGATGGGCCGGAGACTTCAGCTTGTCAAGCAGTGCAAGCGCACAGGTGCCTGCCCACGACTGGACAGTGCTGTCGCAAAAGGTGTGTTCAAAGCCTGGGAATTTTTCAACCGCCATCTTCCTTGGTTCAGGGGCCTCATCATGGATGTAGGTCTGAAGCAGTCGCTGTGGAGCGGGCACTTGAGCCGGCTCCGGGGTAAAGTAGTGGCGCATGTACCAGGGGGCGTTGGAATAATGCGCAGCGACTTCGGCTAGCTTTTGCAGGACGCCACCATCTCGGTGCAGAGGTCAGCGCTTCTGGCCCTCCTATTACAGCAATTAGCAGCACGGGCAAGGCATCCGGACACTCACCCCGCATCTTTGTCACGGCTTTACCCAGAGAGCCCAATGTTGCTTAATTAAGTTTGGCGCTTATTTAAGCAATGTCTAAATAAGAAAGGTTCGAAAATTTAAACAAGACACACCTTGCTTAATTAAGGCGCACAAAACATGGTTTAAATTGCGGTGGCGCATGGACACCATCATATATACATGCGACACACCACAACACATACACCACCACCGCAACACAACACAACAACACACCACCACAACACACCACCACAACACCACAACACAAAAACACGCCACCACAACAACACCACAACACACCACCGCAACACCACCACAACACAAAAACACACCACCACCACAACACACCACCGCAACACCACCACAACACACCACCACAACAACACCACCACAACACACCACCACAACACCACCACAACACACCACTACAACACACCACCACCACCACCGCCACCACCACCACCACAAGAACACCACCACAACACAAAAACACACCACCGCAACACACAACCACAACACCACCACAACACACCACCACAACAACACCACCACCACCACAACACACCACCACAACACCACCACAACACACCCCCAAATCCACCCACTCACCCTCACCACCCCACCCGCCCTCCCCATCCACCCATCGCCACCCACCCACACCCGCACACCCAAAATGTATAGAAAAACTGCACCCTGAAAATATAGCTAACTATCCGAATACACAATATCCTATAGTCCTATACCTACAATTGCAAAAACTTGCATGCTCCATCCCCAGCACAGCTGCCGATCGATCTGTAGCTTTTTTTCTCTCATTGCCCCACGAGAGGGATGGGGTTCTTGGCATAGAACATCTGCAGCACAAGGTGAGACACCGCACTGGCGGAGTTTCTCCCGCCTCGCCGAGACCCTAAATGGGCCAGGCTCCCTCCAAAGTCTTCGTCACGATAAACCCAATGGAGGGAGGGGGAGTCCAAGCTCTCCTCACAGAGGTGTAAAAACAGGTGCATCTTTGGTTTGAAACGCCAGACCGATTGGTCTGGGTAAAGTGTAGCTAAGCTAGCATACAATAGCAAAAACCTACGGCATGCTCCAGCCAGCTTGTCTTTATCAAATTGAACTACACTGAGACAGGAGTAACACTCTTGGAGATAACGACCTGCGTCAATTGCAGCTCGATGCTCAGCTGTGCCCCGAGTGAGGAACTTTGCACAAGCTTCAGAGATCCAAGGGATGAGCCCCCGGGCTTCACCAGCCTTGCACCTTAACTTCGGGCTGGCGGCGCTATTCTTTTTGACCATTCCAGCAGTGAGGTGGTCAAGCCTGGAATCGGTACCGTGTCTTTTGTAAAAATCTTGCACATGCTTGAACAATTGAGCCAGCTTCTGTTTCTCGTTTCCGGGGATCTCCTTCAGGATCGTATGCATGAGGCATCCTAAATAATCGGCAGCCACCCCTTGATCAACACAATGGAGCCAGTCTATGGCAAAAATGTCTGTTCTGAAACCCGGAGCTCCGAACAAAGGTGGGCAGGATCCTTCTGTTGCATAGATATTGGCGAGAAGCTGCCAATGTGTTAATGGTGACTGTCGCCACGGGGCAGAGCTGCTGGTATCCATGAAATTCGTTTTGTTGGCAGAGCAGCGGTAGCAGCAGCTCTCTCGTTCCGCCCACCCAGGGAGGCGAAAAGCTGATTTAAAAGCAGACCAGTCCCCCCGAACTTCCACCAGCAAAGCTTTTGGCAAGGTCTTCCCTGCGAGCTTGGCTCTCTTGCCAGTCAGGGCTTCTCCATCTGGGCCGTGGCTAGGGTACACACCTTCGGCAAGGCACACGAGCGACCACGTAAGCACCCGCATAATCCCGTCAAGAGTGGCATTCTTGACCATGTGTCCTTTGTAAAGTGCTGTTAAAGGAATTCGCATAGAAGCCCAAGCACCCCCGACATGAGGAAAGTTCATCGTCACGACCTCGAGAGACTCTGACCTGTCGTACTTCACCGGAATGCCATCATGCCATATGCCAATAGGAAGAATGCGATCGTTTTCAGCAAACCCCAGTTCTTTGGATGCATTGTCCAAGTGCTGCTTGCAAGCTGCCCTCAAGTTCTCTAGTTTCCAGAACTCGTCGTCGTGATTGTTCCATGTGCTGATGGCACTCACTAGCTCATGTGGCAACATAATTTCAATCTTGCCCGCTTCCGCCTCCTGAGTTGCCCTATTGAGAATCGGCACAGTCGCCTGGAACATACCAGGCCACTTCTTGTCCTTCTTCAGCTTTCGCAACAGGTCTCTATGAGCATGACTGCTGTCTGCTACTTTAGCTAGCTCAACAGTTTCTCGAGGATCGTGAGTTTGACTGTCCGAATATAAGGAACGAGCTCTTTTGCCACTGACTGCCCCTGTCAATAATAGATCAGCCAGATTATCCCTGAGCCGCCGCCCATCCTCGCTGGAACCATGCACCGAATTCTTTGACAGCATGCGAGCCGTCGATCCACCTATCGACCCTGCAATAAAACATAGTATCATAGGCACCTCTAGAACATGTAGTAATTGCTCTAACTTGAAAATATGGCCCCGGTGATGTTTAGTGCAATAGTTATAAATTAAGCTTGATCAGCAACCATCCCCACGGGAGTTGCATGTGGATGCATGAGCATGCAGGTGCATGCATGCATGGCTGCTGGATCGCCCCGATTTTTTGGGGTGTCTCAAAGTGCCCGTCATCGGATCCGGCCACGGGTCCTGCGAGCGAGCTCCAAGTTGCAACATAAGAGTCAGCCTTATACATTGGCCCGTCTCTTAAAACTGAGTGCTTCAAACTTTTAAAACATAAACACCCAAACCCCCTAAACCCCACAAAACCCTACACATCCACCGTACATGTATATCGATCCCTCCCCAAACCCAAAACCCTAGTAAGACTTAGGACCCCGGTTGCACAAACAAACAAACACACACACACACACAGACACACAGACACACAGACACACACACACACAGACACACAGACACACAGACACACAGACAGACACACACACACAACACACACACACACCCACATGAGACATCGTGTTTATGTGCATGCAGCTCCTTTGGGCATTGTTGGACGGCAGCATGATGTACCTCCGGCGCTTTTGCGGCGGATGGTGGGGGTAACGTATACTTGTGCACATGAGAGCATCCATGCCGCGATCGATTTATCCTGTCTCGGGCGAAGAACAAAAACCCGTCTGCGATCGAAGCTTGCCGTGGGCCGGGACTTGCATGCAGTGACGGCACTTAGATGTTGTATTCAAAACTCCCTACAAGCACACGTGCACGACAGGTATGCAAAGCATGTGCATGATCGATCTACAAGGCCGGCCTTCAGTGAAAATTTAAACACTTAGGTGAAAGCTTTCATACCGGATTTCATCTGCTTCGCACCCTCCTGGTGAATCAGCATCTGGTCCCCGAACGTGGTCCATGTGGCTAGGGCTTTGGCACACTCGTCTTGATCACTGGCTGCAATCTTACCAACTGCGGCATATGCTTTGCGAAGCTGCAACAAGTAATCGTGCAGGACAGCCATCTTGTTCTCGTAATCGTCCACCACCTTGGTGAACCCTGGCTTCCCGGCGACTGCCACAGCGAACTCACAGAGGATATCCTTGAGAGCTGTCTCCTCTCTTTCGAGTTTTGCCTTCGCTGACCACACTGGCTTCACCTTGGCCATCAGCTCCGCATGCCACGGGTTCTCCACCTTGATGTTGGGGTCCGAGGCCGGATTGTTGGCGATCATTTTTGAGACCCTTTCCATGTTCCAACCGGTAGCTGACACACTCATCGACTTGGAGTTCCTGTCCTCGATCTTTTCCTTGAGTAGATCGTCATATTCATAATAATATTTTTGCATGGCCAAGTTGGAGTGCTTCTGGATGAGATTTGGGTCTCGCTCCGGGCACGTGGCGAGCCTTGCCCACAACTTCTCCAGGAGCTCCTTCAGGCAGGCTTCTTTTTCGTCGACGGTCATGCCGTCGGTGTCGATCCCTTCGGCCTCCAAAATTTGCTTGCGGCTGAGCATTCCTCTGAGTTTCGCCCGCTCAGTCACTTCGTCGTGCGTGTTGCTCTCGATATAGGTCGCAGCCCAGGAGAGATCCTTGGGCCCGTGCTCGCTGTACTGCTTGGCCATCTGTCGCTTCCCATCATTGTCAAGGTTGTTGTACATCTGCAGCACGGGGGAGCATGCAAATGCAAATCAAGAAAGGCTTGCAACCAGGTAGGTTTACAGCCCTAATTTACGGACCCCGGGCCTCTAGCAGCTTCTGAGCCGTGGTCATGTGCTCCTTGTTCTGGCCGTGGTTGATCTTGTATTTCATTGCTGTCACGAAACTAGACAGCTGTTGCCGACCATGATCGGGATCTGGGGCGGGTGCTGCCTTTGTGCTCGGCTGGGCTTTGCCCTTGGCCTGCTTGAGGGCAGGCTTTGCAACAGCCTTGCTCTTGGCAGCTGTGACCTTAGCCTTTGGATCGGCCTTCTTCCCCATGGTGGGATGGATGCTCCGGGTCTACAGAAAGATTGCTGAAGGCAGCCGATAGTGTGCTAGGTATGCTGCATGCAATGGAGTACATACAACCATGAGACGGTGCATCCCCACGGGATGAATCATGAACTGCTCCACGTCTTCACTGTCACTCAATGCACACGACATCCCTAGGGCATGCATGTATGGATGTGGTATGGTGCAACCCCACGGGATGCAGCACAGCACTGTGCACAGACAGAATCCTCAAAGGATTCCGAGTGCACTTTCCCGGGCCTAGAAGAAGGCGAAGCAACGACCTTAGGATTGCATCGGGACTTGAATCGGCAGGGTTCGGTCGGGAAGGGTGTTAAAGAAATCTTTTTTTTAACGTTTCTTTAACAGCTCTTTTGCTTTAAACTAAGAGCAAAAGGGGCGTTAAAGAAATGTTAAAAAAAAGATTTCTTTAACACCTTGTGTTGGGTTGCTGTGGGGCTGGGTTCTGGTTCCTAGGTTGCAAATGCCTCCCCAGGGGAGGCAATTGCTATAATGCAGGCCCTCCTCAGAGGAGGGCCCTTTAACTGGGATTCGGACTGCACACGAACATGCACAACAAAGTCGCTGCATCGATCAACAGAAGTGCCTATCCTGTTCCCACATGCACTGTCTGGCTGCCCTACAACATTGATGAATCAGCGGCTTCAGGGCCCGACCCAACCACACCAGAAGCATCTAAGTCCTGCAAGGCAAGTGTTGTAGTCTTAAGGAAGGGTTTGGGCTCAGGAGGGTTTCAAGGTTGGGGCGGTGAATTAAATTGGTTTGCGGTTTCGGGGTTCGGGGAGGAGGCTGTTCGGGTTCAGGGCACCGGGTGGTCGGGTTTTGGGGTTCGGGGTTTAAGGGCCGGGGGTTGGAGTCGGAGCGGTTTGGGATCGGGGGCTTGGGGTCTATCTGTTATTCGTGGCTGCTCTTTTCTCTTGTTTTGGATTGAGCATTAGCAACTAAGGGTAAAGGGAAAAACACTACTTGCGACACGGCAGTTGCAAGTATGGACTTTTCGCGAAAAGCCCATTCTTGCGACCAGCAAAGCCACGAACCCCGAACGAAATAGCGGAACCCTAACCCCCTAAACCCAAACCCTGAAACCCCAAGCCCCGAACCCCACACCCCAGCATTCGATAGCCCTTTTGTCGCAAAGAGGCAAGCGGCGACTATGGTACCGGCCAATGCATGCTTCCAGCCACTAATATATTATGTACACACGTGTGTATACATATACATGTACATGTGTATATAATTATACAATAAGGAGATAGAACAGCAGCTGTCGACGAGGCGGGCCCACGGGCGGTCTAAGTGTATCCCTGGATGTATACACGGCACCGTGAAAAAGACCCTGAGGGCTGAATATACATGTAGACATTTACATAAACTTACCTATATGTCTATATATATATATATATTATTTATTTATTTCTCTTTTTTCTTAAACCCTAGAACCCAAGCTTATGAATAAATCTGAAGTGTTACACATGGACCTCAGCACCCGCGACTGGAGCTGGTCGGAGCATGCTTTGGCCTCGCTTCAAAGCGAGCCTCCCGGCCCAACGGATGGGGCTCATCACCGACCCATTGGCCGGTTTTTCTTAAGTACTTGAACCTCCTGAAGAGCTCTTCCCGCCTCTTCTTTCCTTTATTTTTTCCTCCAACCTTCACCACCATTTTCCAAATCTCCCAATCCTCCTGGGTCCACTGCCCCTCCTTGAGGTCCAAGTCGCCATCCTCCTCCGAAGCCAATGGCTGAGGCCGGGCTTTGGGCCTCGAGCCCCGGATGGAGCCCTCCTCCACCGCCGTTGTCTCCCCCTCCATCTTCTCATCTTTTTCTACTCCTTCCTCCTCCAATACCACCTCCATCTTCTCATCTTTTTTTGCTACTTCCTCCTCCAATACCACCTCCTCCATCTCCTCTTCATTCTTCTCTCCTTCCTCCTCCAGTACCACCACCTCCGTCTCCTCTTCTTCCTCCAGTTCCTCCTCCGTCTTCTCTCCTCTCTCCTCCTCCGATGAAGAGCTGGTGCTGCCTCTCGAGTCGGTGGCATCGCTGGCCCACCCCAAACGAGCCGGCGAACCCGAGAGGCTCAAGCACCTCATTCGCCACCTCTGGTCCCGCCACCTCCTCCAGCTCCCCGGGCTCGAGGAGGTGGTGGGGGACCTCTCCCTCTCTTTCGCCAGCTGCTCTGCTTGCCGGCAAAAAAACTCCTCCACCTCTGCCATCNNGCGACAGGAAAGGCCTGCAGGGCTTAACTAGTGTTTTGGTCGGCCCTATAGTGAACCATCTGCTCTAAAGCACCAGTGGCTGTGTAAAGTGTTGACCCAGCGATTAAAGGCCGAGCCGAGCTTAAGGCTAAGGTCCTAAAGGTCCGAAGACGTATGTGTATATGCGTATATATATATATATGTGTGTGTGTGTGTATACATATATATATATATACATATAATGGGGTCCAGGATTAAAATTAAATTGCAGCAGAACCGAGGTTCGTGCTATACCGTCTACAACATTAATTAAATATGCGACTTATGGGCTTGTGTACCTTTTCCATGTTTGGGGCTTCATAAGGGTTTAGGGTTTAGGACAACTTCTAGGGTTGAGGCTCAAATCATTGGATCCGGGATACATGATCATCGATGGGCACAGATATAGCTGATCAGTGTACTGGGGTGTCTTATACAAGGCTGGTGCCACAGCTTGAGACCAACAGGCATCAAAGCACATGCATTCACATGATACATGGGCGGCACTGTTAATTAACTGATCAGGTCCTGTATGTATGCATGCATGCACAGCCGACCAGTCCTCGATGCCTCCATTGATGATCGTTGCAGCAGTGCCCAATAAGAGTACCTGGAGCCACTATGATCTAGGATTTCCTAAACTCCTCAGAGGAGTTCGCCACATATCATCGAGCTCGATCACGATCGAGGCATCAACTACATAAACATCGGGCGGCTAGAGAACAGATACACTCGAGATGTAGCTATGCCCAGGAAGGCTGTCAAAAGTTGCATGCTTCATCTTCGCAATCAGGATTTATACTCAAGTCTTCAATTGATGCAGTTCGGCGCTTTGTGCATAGAGAGATAGTTGGATGAGAGGTTTGTATTTTTCACTAGCTGTATTTGATACTCTACATATATGTATATACACATCCATATTTAGCTAATATTCGTAGACTATGACCCGGAGCTGCAAGCTTACAGCCATGAATCAAACTTCAGCTGGCCTAGGTTCAGAGTTTCATGGGGCTTGCAAAGTGCAAAGTCCTTGTCAGGTTCAGGGATTGAAGATTTAGGATGGGTTAGGCTTATATAAGGTTGAGTACAATCGACAACCAATTCAACATACCCCGGGCCTGAAAGATCGATAATGCAAAGGGGTGGGTGTAGGGTCACTGCAGTCGCTCGTTGATACCTCGGTGCACCAGCAAATTCAGCCTAAGCCTCCCCATGGGAGGCTAACTATATCGACTGAGTTCCTCGCAGCCAGTTACAAGCAAGCTGACCAGGGTCTGCAGGCACACAGCTAGCAATCTTGAAAAAGTGTACTGGCTCAGAAAACATCATGCAACTAGATCCCGCCTCACACCTCTCCCTTGGCCCAGCTCTCCACGACAGCTGGGGGCTGCCTTTCTTTCTGCATCTTTGCCACAGCTTGCCAACCAATCCGTCTCAATGCCTCTTCGGACTTGTCACATTTGCGGCCGCCGAAAGAAAACACTTGTTTTTCGAACTTCTCGCCATGGAACCTCCCGAAGATGCGGATCCCGATCTTATTGTCCTTCTTATAGTACATGCACGTGTACTTGGCATCCTCCGGCACCGGGACCTCGGGGTCATACTGATATCCTACCTGCTCATCACCCTCGCTGGGTACAAGAGCATCAGCAGCAACTTCTTGAGCATCATGATCAACAGATGGGGCGACTTCTGCTCGAGCAGGTTTTTTCGCAACACCCTTGGCCTTGCCCTGAACCTTGCCCTTAGCCTTGCCCTGAGCTGCCTTAGCCTTGCTCTTGGCCTTACTCTTCGGCCGCTTCTTCGGTTTGACCGGTTTGGGCCTCAGGTTGGCACCATGCATGACCAAATTGGGAACCTCTGTCTCGAAGGCATCCTCGCCTTGGAACTTGGCCAATAGGAACCCACCCGGACCTTCCACCGTGCCCGCAACAACCTTCTTGCCTCTGACCGTCCGCACCATCGCGAGCTTGCTACCGTCCCAGAACTGCAGCGGCTTCGGAGCAGCACTGGCAGGCCCGCTTTCGTCGACCTTGCCATCGATGACCTCGACCTCCTCACAGGAGCTCTCGATCATCTCAGCATCCACATCCAAAGCAATTTGAGGTCCACCTTTGGAGCTGCTGCTAGGGTTGGAGGTAGGCGGGAGGCCATACAAGCTTCGAAGTTCTTCACTGCTCATATTGCTGCTGGAGCTGATAGTCTGCTGCTTCTTCTCGGGCTGCTTCGTGTCTGGGCAAACATCCTCCAGCTTGTTTTTGGGTCGCTTTCGCTTGTTCATCGTGCTGGCATCCGATGGGGCAGGCTTCAAGGCTCGTTTGGGCTTCTTCTCATCACGGACTTTGTTCGCACCAAAGCTGTTCTTGCTGATCTGCTGGATGATCCTTCGAACCGCTGGGGTCAGCCTCGCACCGGTGCTTATCTGGAGCCTCTTATTGTAGCAGTAACTGACAGCTTTTGCCATCCTCTCTGCCCACGTCTCAGCTTCTGACCCCTTGACCTGCTCCCATGATCTAACAGCTGCAGCCTGCAGCAAAGTCTTGGTCGGTCGAGGTGTCCTTAAGAGGATATCGGAAATCAAGTCCTCATAGGCCGAAACGATCATCGAGGGCTCGTGGTCTAGATACTTCTTGTCCAGACCTTGGGGCAGGTGGGCCCGCATGACCTTCACCAAGTCTTCCGGCTTGGCCGAGTTCGACCGCCTTAAGGTCGGCGGCATGCTGTGACACACA